CCTATTTTCTATGACACTTGTGCATATGCACGCTACAGTCCAGCCTTGCCAAATTATCTTCAAATAGGGTCATGTAAAAGATTTAAAAAAATTGGCCGGGTGTGGTGGCTCCAGAAGCCTGTAATCCCAGCACTTTGGGAGGCTGAGACGGGCAGATTACAAGGTCAGGAGATCGAGACCATCCTGGCTAACACGGTGAAACCCTGTCTCTACTAAAAATACAAAAAACTAGCCAGGCGAGGTGGCGGGCACCTGTAGTCCCAGCTACTCAGGAGGCTGAGGCGGGTATGGCATGAACCTGGGAGGCAGAGCTTGCAGTGAGCCGAGATCCCACCACTGCACTCCAGCCTGGGCGGCAGAGCGAGACTCCGTCTCAAAAAAAAAAAAAAAAAAAAAAAAAAAAAAAAAAAAAAAAGATAAAAAAATTTAATTACCTGTAATTCCCAAACCTATGGTACTTTCATACATCTAGGTCTTTCCACAATTTATTCTCACTTTGTCTTGAATACTTTTACTGTCCTGGCAAACAGTTATTCTCCCACAAGGATGAAATTCCTGGTTGGGCACTGTGGCTCACGTCTGTAATCTCAGCACTTTGAGAAGCAGAGGCAGGTGGATCACTTGAGGTCAGGAGTTCAAGAGCAGCCTGACCAACATGGTGAAACCTCGTCCTCTACTTAAAAATACAAAAGTTAGCCGGGCATGGTGGCAGGTGCTTGTAATCCCAGCTACTCAGAAGGCTGAGGCAGGACAATTGCTTGAACCCAGGAGGTTAAGGTTGTAGTCAGCGGAGATTGTGTGACTGCACTCCAGGCTGGGCAATGGAGCAAGACTCTCCTTTTGGAGGTTCCTCTGGCACATGTGCTCAGGCAGAGTAAAACACTTCCTTCTTTGTGCTAAACTACCCCTCTTGGCACAGAGCTGTATTACTATAATTATCACAGCAATATTATATCTTGAGCACAGGAACTATGTCTGGTTCATCTTTATATCCCTTGCACCTAGCAGAGGGTAGGAACAGAGCAGGGAGCCAATAAATGCTTGTTGACTTAGTGAAAGCACTCACAAGGAACAAAATTAAAACAAGCAGGAACATTACCCTTTTTATAAAAATCTGAATATAATCTAATCATCTAACCCTCCCCCACTTTTTTTTTTTTTGTAGAGACAGGTGTCTCACTATGTTTCTTAGGCTGGTCTTCAACTCTTGGCCTCAAGTGATCCTTCTGCCTTGGACTCCCAAAGTGTTGGGATTACAGGCATGAGTCACCACACTTGGCCCATATTAAGATCTTAATTAGGAAATAATTTTTAAGGCCAGGTGTGGTGGCTCACGCCTGTAATCCCAGCACTTTGGGAGGCGCCAAGGCAGGTGGATCACCTGAGGTCAGGAGTCTGAGACCAGCCTGGCCAACATGGTGAAACCCTGTCTCTACTAATAAAAATACAAAAAATTAGCTGGGTATAGTGGTGGGAGCCTATAATCCCAGCTACTCAGGAGGCTGAGGCAGAACTACTTGAACCCAGGAGGCAGAGGCTGCAGAGAGCCGAGATCACGCCATTGCACTCCAGCCTGGGCAACAAGTGCGAGACACCCTCTCAAAAAAAAAATTAATAAAAAGAATTTTTAAGCTGTAGGTCTCCTGTGGAGAAATACACCTTTGAAAGCACTCCAAAGACAGTAATAAGCCATTTCCTTAATTAACTATCATAACTTAGTTCGCATGTTCATTCCAAGGCCTTGAAATAATCCTGTTTCTTCATATGTATCTGATATGGCTTGGGTGTGTCCTCATTCAAAACTCATTTTGAATTATAACTCTCACAATTCCCATGTGTCACGGGAGGAACCTGGTGGCAGGTGATTGAATTATGGGGGCGGGTCTTTCCTGGGCTGTTCTCATGATAGTGAATACATCTCACAAAACCTGATGGTTTAAAAAATGGCAGTTTCCCTGCACAAACTCTCTCTTTGCCTGCCACCATACATGTAAGATGTGACTTGCTCTTTGCCTTTTGCCATGATTGTGAGGCCTCCCCAGCCATGTGAAACTGTAAGTCCATTAAACCTTTTTTACTTCTGTCTTAGGTATGTCTTTATTAGCAGCATGAAAATGGATTAATACAGCAATTTGGTACCAGAAGTGGAGTGCTGCTGAAAAGATACACGAATATGTGGAAGTGACTTTGGAACTGGGAAATAGGCAGAGGTTGGAACAATTTGGAGGGTCAGAAGAAGAGAGGAAAATGTGGGACAGTTTTGAATTTCCTAGAAACTTGCTGAATGGCTTTGACTAAAATGCTGATAATAATATGGACAATGAAATCCAGGATGCAGTGCTCTTAGATGGAGATAAGAAACTCGTTGCAAACTGGAGCAAAGGTGACTCTTGTTATGTTTTAGCAAATCTACTGGTGGCATTTTGCCCCTGCCCTAGAGACTGGTGGAACTTTGAACTTCAGAAAGATGATTTAAGGTATCTGGTGGAAGAAATTTCTAAGCAGCAAAGCATTCAAGAGGTGACTTGGGTGCTGTTAAAGGCATTCAGTATTTTTTTTGAGATGGAGTCTTGCTCTGTTACTACCTGGAAAAGAATAGCGTGATCTCGGCTCACTGCAACCTCCACCTCCTGGGTTCAAGCATTTCTCCTGCCTCAGCCTCCTGAGTAGCTGGGATTACATGAGTGCACCACCACGCCAAGCTAATTTTTGTATTTTTAAGTAGAGACAGGGTTTTACCATGTTGGCTAGGATGGTCTTGATCTCCTGATCTGCCCACCTTGGCCTTCCAGAGTGCTGGGATTACAGGCGTGAGCCACTGTGCCCAGCTGGCATTCAGTTTTATAAGGGAAGCAAAGCATAAAAGTTCAGAAAATTTGCAGACTGACAATGTGATAAAAAAGAAAATCCTGGCCAGGTGCGGTGGCTCATGCCTGTAATTCCAGCACTTTGGGAGACCAAGGCAGGTGGATTACCTGAGGTTGGGAGCTCAAGACCAGTCTGACCAACATGGAGAAACGACGTCTCTACTAAAAATAGAAAATTAGCTGGGCTTGGTGGCGCATGCCTGTAGTCCCAGCCACTTGGGAGGCTGAGGCATGAGAATTACTTGAACCTGGGAGGTGGAGGTTGTGGTGAGCTGAGTTTGCACCACTGCACTCCAGCTCAAAACAAAAAACAAACAAAAAAAGAAAATCCCATTTTCTGAGGAGAAATTCAAGCTGGCTGCAGAAATTTGCATAAGCAATGAGGAGCTGAATGTTAATCACCAAGACAATGGGGAAAGTCTTCAGGGCATGTGAGAGGTCTTCATCATACCCGCTCCCCCACTCCACCATTCACAGGCCTGGAGGCTTAAGAGGAAAAAGTAGTTTTGTGGGCTGGGCCCAGGGTCTCCATGCTGGTTGCAGCCTAGGGACTTGGTGCTGTACGTCCCAGCTGCTCAGCCATGACTGAAGGGGGCCAATGTAGAGCCTGGGCCATACAGAGGGTGTACGCCTCAAGCCTTGGCAGCTTTCACATGGTGTGCACAGAAGTCAAAATTGAGGTTTGGGAACCTCTACCTAGACTTCAGAGGATGCATGAAAATGCCTGGATGTCCAGGTAGAAGTTTACTGCAGGGGCAGGGCTCTCATGGAGAACCTCGGCTAGGGCAGTATGGAAAAGAAATGTGTGGTTGGAGTCCCTACGAAGAGTCCCTACTGGGGCACCGCCTAGTGGAGCTGAGAGAAGAGGGCCACTGTCCTCCAGACCCCAGAATGGTAGATCCACTGACAGCTTGCAACATGTGCCTTGAAAAATCACAGACACTCAACACCATCCTGTGAAAGCAGCTGGGAGGGAGGCTGGGAGGTAAAGTCACAGGGGTGGAGCTGCCCAAGACCATGGGAACCCACCTCTTGCATCAGCATGACCTGGATGTGAAACATGGAGTCAAAAGAGGTCATTTTGGAGCGTTAAGATTTGACTGTCCCACTCAATTTCAGACTTGCAAGCGGCCTGTAGCCCCTTTGTTTTGGCCAATTTTTCTCATTTGAAACGGCTGTATTTACCCAGTGCCCATGCTCCTATTGTAGCTCGGAAGTAACTTACGTGCTTTTGATTTTACAGGCTCACAGATGGAAGTGACTTGCCTTATCTCAGATGAAATGTTGAACTGTGGAGTTTTGAGTTAAAGCTGAAATAAGACTTTGGGGGACTGTTAGGAAGGCATGATTGGTTTTGAAATGTGAGGATATGAAATTTGGCAGGGGCCAGGGGAAGAATGATACAGTTTGGCTGTGTCTCCACCCAAATCTCACTGTGAATTGTTAACTCCCACAATTCCCACATGTTGTGGAAGAAACCCCGTGGGAGGTGATTGAATTATGTGGTCAGGTCTTTCCTGGGCTCTTCTCATGATAGTGAATATGTCCCAAGAGATCTGATTCTTTTAAAAATGGGAGTTTCCACCAGGAATGGTGGCTCACGCTTGTAATCCCAGCATTTTGGGAAGCCGAGGCAGGCAGATCACGAGGTCAAGCGATCGAGACCATCCTGGCCAACATGGTGAAGCCCTGTCTCCACAAAAATACAAAAATTAGCTGGGTGTGCTGGCATGCGCCTGTAGTCCCAGCTATGTGGAAGGCTGAGGCAGGAGAATCACTTGAACCCAGGAGGCAGAGGTTTCAGTGAGCCAAGATCCTACCACTGCACTCCAGCCTGGTGACAGTGCAAGACGCTGTCTCAAAAACAAACATACAAACAAAAAACAGGAGTTTCCCTGCACAAGCTCTCTCTTTGCCTGCCACCATCCACATAAGATGTGACTTGCTCCTCCTTGCCTTTTGCCATGATTGTGAGGCCTCCCCAGTCATGTGGAACTGTAAATCCATTAAACCTCTTTTTCTTCCCAGTCTCGGTCGGGTATTTCTTTATCAGCAGCGTGAAAATGGACTAATACAGTATCTAAGACTTAAAAAAAAAATTAAGGTGAAATTTACATAACACAAAATCAACCATTTTAAAACGTACAATACAGTGGCATTTAGTAAATTCACAATGTTATGCAACTACCCCACCTATATCAAGTTCCAAAATAGTTTCATCACTCCCTGCAAAAAAACTCTGTATCCATTAAGCAGTTATTTTTCATTTTCCCCCTAGACCCTGGAAACCACAGGAACATTAACTTTTAAGTTATTCTAAGGAATTTTAAAGTCATAAAGTAGATATTAAAACAGACAGATTTTAGATGGCTGTGCAACTGCTTCCAGTCATACAGAAAAGTTTTTTTCAATAATCTCAATTCCAGTTTTTATTAGCCATTTTATGTACATTGATACCAAGTACTGAAAACTGATAAAAACATGTCCAGAATTCTTTTTTTCCTTTTCTGAGAAAGGGTCTTGCCCTCTCACCCAGGATGGAGTGTAGTGGTGCAATCACAGCTCACTGCAGCCTCAATCTCCCAGCCTCAAGTGATCCCCCCATGTCAGTCTCCTGAATAGCTGGGACTACAGGCACATGCCATCACACCCAACGAATTTTTTTATTTTTTGTAGAGATGAGGGCTCACTATGTTGCCCAGGTTAGTCTTGAACTCCTGGACTGAAGTGATCCTCCTGCCTCGGCCTTCCAAAGTGTTAGGATTACAGGCATGAGCCACAGGACCCAGCCCATGGTTTCTTATACAGTCAATGTACAAATGCTCATTTATATTTTGCACAACAATGAAGATAAAAATAACAATTATAGCAACATACAAATATGTACAAGGATTCAAGACAGACTTTGTTTTTTGGCTTATAACAATGTGTAGATACTACACAAAGAATGAGGATGTAATTTTCATTTACAAGCAAAATGTGACCAAAATCCCTTTTCTTCTTAAAATTGAAAAATGAAATTCTTGAGAATACTAATTAGTGACAGCCAAATCTGACTATTTTAAATTAGCCATGGTTAAACATAGGTAAGTTAAACATTGTGCCTTTCCAAAATTAACGTTTGCAGTTAGAAACATAAACATTTGATAAAACTTCTCAAAATTAATTATAAGTGGCTTTTTCACGTTCTCTGGATTCCAGACACATACTAGAAAAAGTAAATGGAAAAGAGGTGATATTCTGGAAAGCATCCCTACTACTGAAAAGCATCCCTAGCATTGAAAAAAGCATCCCTAATACTGAAAAGCATCCCTAGTACGGAAAAACATCTTCAGGAGTACCCAGTGGTACACTAGCAGGAAACTCATGATATACTAAAAATACTGAGAATAAAGCGGGGGAAGTAATAAGCAGCTATTTTACTGATGTATTAAATATACTGGAATTATGAGGCATAAGATGATATTTATGTGGTTTTTAAAAGGTTTAAAATATTCTTAGGGACTCAATTAGATATTGAGAATGACTGATACTATGATCTCAAAAATAATATAACACACATAATCATGGTGTTACCTTACTAACAGGAATTTAGTTTTTAATAACTAACTGAATTTTATTCTACTGGCTTGAGAAGCAGCTGCCTATTTTGAGAACTACAGGAGTTAGTATGATCATATATAATTAAGTTAATGTCACAGAAACCAAAATGATAATAGTTTACAAAAGAAGAAAGTGCCCATTTATTGGGTTGTGACATCAGGCTGAGATGGCTTAGGGCTGGAAAGCAAGGATGAGTGTAGCATTGGGGCTCAGGTACAAATCTGTTTATAAAGCTCAAGGAGAGAAAAGGCACGAGAAGGAGACAACCCTAAATGGTGGTGGCACCTGGATGTGGAATTACCACAGGGGGCCAGAGACAGGCTGGTACATAACCCTCTGGCCAGGTACTATGGGAACCAACCCCTTCCTTCAATATTAAATTGAGAATACAAATATCTCAAAGCATGCTTACCAAAAGTTGATTATTTATCCTCATATTACAAAACACAGGAGGAGGAGACATTTATTTTTAAAAGAGAGCTAAAAAGTTATGGGGTGTCTCCTAAATTCAACTTGAAAACTAACTCAAGGAGCAAACATTAAAAAAAAAATCCCTATTAATATATACATATTTTTGAGATGGAGTTTTACTCTTGTTGCCCAGGCTGAAGTGCAGTGGTGCAACCTAGGCTCACCACAACCTCCGCTTCCTGGGTTCAAGCAATTCTGCCTCAGCCTCCCAAGTAGCTGGGATTACAGGCATGTGCCACTACACCTGGCTAATTTTGTATTTTTAGTAGAGATGGGGTTTCTTCATGTTGGTCAGGCTAGTCTCAAACTCCTGACCTCAGGTGATCTGCCCGCCTTGGCCTCCCAAAGTCCTGGGATTACAGGCGTAAGCCACTGCATCTAGCTGGACTATTAGTATTTTTAAAAGGCACTTAAAATATTCCTTTCCAGTCCAACTCAAAATACATCTCTGTCAACTACATTTTGGATAAATATTTTAAAAAGCACATTTTTGTGCAATTTTTTTCTTATAATCCAGCAATATTTACCATCCATAGGGTTAAAAGTTTGAAGGACAGAGCTCCAACTTTCTGCAGAACAATCTGAAAGTGCTTTTATCATAGAAACAAGAACATTAATGATTTGCTCTTTCACTGACAACATCCTGTAGTCGTTTCAGTAAAACATCATCATTTTCTTGACAGACGCGTTTGGCAGGGGATTCTGCATCACTATCGATGGCTATTACTCGCTTCTTGGTTCTCTGCTCACCTTGCCTTATCATGTTGTTGATCTCTTTCAAACTCTGTGCAGAAACAGAGAACGTGTGTGAGTAAAAGAGGGAGAAGGGAAATGGCAGCAAACAACCAAGCGAATTGTTTTTTCCTGTGTTCTATCCTCTGTCCAAATCTTCACACTGGGATAAGGATTCTTTTTAAAACTTAGAACAACCTCATAAGGGATGGCCTGAACTAATCTTTTCAGATGGTTTAAAAATTAGATTTAAGGCCAGGTGTGGTGGCCTGTAATACCAGCACTTTGGGAGGCCAAGATGGTTCAATCACTTGAGCCCAGGAGTTTGAGATCAGCTTGGGCAACATGGCAAACCTGGTCTCTACAAAAAATACAAAAATTAGGCAGGTATGGTGGCTTGTGCCTGTAGTCTCAGCTACTCGGGAGGCTAAGGAGCATCACCTGAGCCTGGGGAGGTTGCGGCTGCAGTAAGCAGTGATCATGCCACTGTACTCCAGCCTGGGAAACAGAGTGAGACCCTGTCTCAAAAACAAAACCAAAACAACTGAATTTGCTGTATAATAGTAGTTCTCGATGTGTAGTACCCAGACCAGAAGCAGAAGAAGCATCTACAATTTTTTTATTTTTTGAAACAGGTTCTCTCTCTGTTGCCCAGGCTGGAGTGCAGGGCATGATCTTGGCCCACTGCAAGCTCCGCCTCCTGGGCTCAAGCTATTCTCCTGCCTCAGCCTCCCTAGCTGGGACTACAGGCACATGCCACCATGCCTGGCTATTTTTTTGTATTTTTAGTAGAGACAGGATTTTGTTATGTTGGCCAGGCTGGTCTTGAACTCCCGGCCTCAAGTGATCCCCCAACCTTGGCCTCCCAAAGTGCTGGGATTACAGGGGTGAGCCACCGTGCCTGGCCTTAACTGTTTTTTTTTGGTTTTTGAGACGAAGTCTTGTTCTTGTCGCCCAGGCTGGAGTGCAATGGCATGATCTCGGCTCACTGCAACCTGTGCCTACTGGGTTCAAGCGATTCTCCTGCCTCAGCCTCCTGAGTAGCTGGGATTATAGGTGCTCACCACCATGCCTGGCTAATTTTTGTATTTTTAGTAGAGATGGGGTTTTGCCATGTTGGCCAGGCTGGTCTTGAACTCCTCATCTCGTAATCTGCCTGCCTTGGCCTCCCAAAGTGCTGGGATTACAGGCGTGAGCCACTGGGACCAGCCCTAATCTGTTTTAACCAGCCCTCCCAATGATTTTAAAGTTCCCTACAGTTTGAGATCCTCTTCCTTAGAGTAATGCTTTTCAATTTTTTTTTTTTTTTTTGAGACAGAGTCTCGTTCTGTCGCCCAGGCTGGAGTGAAAAAGGGGTGATCTCGGCTCACTGCAACCTCCGCCTCCCGGGCTCAAGCGATTCTCCTGCCTCAGCCTCCTGAGCAGCGTAGCTGAGATTACAGGTGCGGACCATCGTGCCTGGCTAAGTTTTTGTATTTTTAGTAGAGATGGGGTTTTGCCATGTTGCCCAGGCTGGTCTTGAACTCCTGAGATCAGGCAATCCGCCTGCCTTGGCCTCCCAAAGTGCTAGGATTATAGGCTTGAGCCACTGTGTCCAGTCAGGTATATTATCTTAGCCAACTTTGTCAAGTATAGTGAGAACTCTGTAGGCATCTGTATAACTTAATAGGAAAGTAATAAGAAGGAGCCAATGTATTTGGACTGAATTACAATATGCCCCACTACAATTTCTTCCAGTTTATACTGATTCTGACTTCTGGAGACATACTGAACAGATCTGCTTGACAGTCCATGAAGTATCTGAAAACAGCAGTCATGTCCATATCACATCTTCACCACTCAACAAGGATAAGGATGGAGATGATCACAGAGTTGTCTATGTACATAAGAGGAGACTTGTGTTTTCAGATGTCTTCCTATCCTGGGTGCCATCTACCAAATGCACTTTCACTTCCAATGCCTTTCTTTCAACTTGACATCCCCCAGGTCTGACCACTTGCAGATGTTGCTTTACTGGTCCCTTCTCAAGATCTTGCTTGAACAGGAAAACATGCTGGACTTTCAAAATGAACTCCACAAATACCATGTCAATAATAATGGATTAAACTACCTCAAACTGAATATACTGCTCTTGATGAGAGGAGACATGCCATAGTTAACATTTCATATTTTATTAGTATAGTAGAAACTTGGCCAAAAACAAAAAGAGAGGCAAGATTAACAGTTACTGACTGTTAATCTGAAATCCAACTTTTAGCCTATTCACCTTACCTTAGAAGGGCTGCCATTGAACTTGTACAGCAGAGCGCTTCTTGGTGTAAGGCCTGATCCATTCTTGTGTGGGGAAATATAAATGGAGTGCTGTTGGGAAATGCGGCGTGGTGAGCCTGGCTGTTGTTTAATATGTGGAAAAGGAGAGAGTGGTGGAGCATCCATCTAAAATAACCCAAAAGTCAGATTTTTTAGATAAAAGTTTTTCTTTGTTTTTGAATCCTATATTTTTATTCTTATGATATCTCCTAGTTAGGAATCAGTTATACTATAAAAGCTCATTTATGGTTGAGAAAAGCAAAAACAAGATCTGTTACTTCCTTTTTTTTTTTTTTTTTTTTTTTTTTTAACAACAACAAGAGATAAAGTAGAATTTATTTTCCTGGATCTTTTTTTTTTGAGATGAAGTATCTCTCGCTCTTGTTGCCCAGGCTAGAGTGTGATGGTGCAATCCAGGCTCACTGCAACCTCTGCCTCCCAGGTTCAAGCGATTCTCCTGCCTCAACCTCCCAAGTAGCTGAGATTACAGGCATGTGCCACCACGCCCAGCTAATTTTGTATTTTTAATAGAGATGACCATCTTGGCCAGGCTGGTCTCCAACTCCTGACCTCAGGTGATCCACCCACCTTGGCCTCCCAAAGTGCTGGGATTACAGCTGTGAGCCACTATGCCCTGCCTATTTTCCTGGATCTTTCAGGAAGTCCTATAACTAGTATTAAGAATTCTGGCCGGGCATGGTGGCTCACACCTGTAATTCCAGCACTTTGGGAGGCCGAGGTGGGTGGATCACCTGAGGTCAGGAGTTTGAGACCAGCCTGGCCAGCATGGTGACACTCTGTCTCCACTAAAAATGCAAAAATTAGCTGGGCGTGGTGGCACATGCCTGTAATCTGAGCTATTCGGGAGGCTGAGGCACTAGAATTGCTTGAACCCAGGAGGCAGAGGTGTTGCAGTGAGCCCAGATTGTGCCACTGCACTCCATCCTGGGTGACAGAGCAAGAATCTGCCTCCAAAAAAAAAAAAAAAAAAAAAAGAATTCTGGGGCCGGGTGCAGTGGCTCACTCCTATAATTCAGCACTTTGGGAGGCCAAGGTGCTCTGATCACTTGAGGCCAGGAATTGGAGACTAGTCTGGCCAACATGGCAAAACCCCACTTCAGCCTCCTGAGTAGCTCCTAAAAATATAAAAATTAGCCAGGTATGGTGGCATGTGCCTGTAGTCCCAGCCACTTGGGAGGCTGAGCATGACAACTGTTTGAACCCAGGAGGCAGAGGTTGCAGTGAGCCGAGTTTATGTCACTGCACTCCTCCCTAGGTGACAGAGTGAGACTCTGTCTCAAAAGAAAAAAAAAAAATTCTGGACAAGACACCAGGAGTTAAGCCACGAGCACGAGAACCTCATATTCATGCTTAAAAAGTCAGGACAGGCTGGGCAGGGTGGCTCACGCTTGTAATCCCAGCACTTTGGGAGGCCGAGGTGGGTGGATCATGAGGTCAGGAGTTCAAGACCAGCCTGGCCAAGATGGTGAAACCCTGTCTCTACTAAAAATACGAAAATCAGCTGGGCATGGTGACAGGCTCCTGTAATGCCAGCCACTCAGGAGGCTGAGGCACAGAATTGCCTGAAGCCGGGAGGTGGAGGTTGCAATGAGCCGAGACTGTGGCCACTGCACTCCAGCCTGGGCAACAGAGCAAGACTCCTTCTCCAAAAAAAAAAAAAAAAAGTAGGGACAAAGAATAACCAATCTTCTAACACTTGCTATAACAATCTCTCTCTACACACACACAAAATCTCTCTCTACCCCACAACCAAAGCAGTAGCAGAGAGAATAAAAGAGGCAGAGAATTCTATAAGCCAGCAGAATGATTCCGACATGGAAAAAAATCTGTTAATGAAATGGGAAACACTTCATATGGAAATGGAAAATATTTAGAAATAAGTTGGATGAGCAAGGATTTCATTTTCATTTTCTTTAATATCCTGTATAATGGAAGTAAATTAAGATGGTAGAGTATATAGACAGAGGGGAAGTGAAACTGGAGTAGGATGAACAGTTATGACCTCTGAGGATAGTCATAGACCATATTCCATGAAAAGAGGAAGAACAGAAATGTACAGATGCACACAGTTACATAGAAACAGCTATTGGCTGGCTGGCTGCAGCTTCTGCTAGGGCCTTTTCTTTTCTTTTTTTCTGAGGCAGGGTCTTGCTCTGTTGCCCAGACTGGAGTGCAGTGATGTGACTGTGGTTCATTGCAGCCTTGACCTCCTGGGCCCAAGCGATCCTCCTACCTTAGCTTGCTGAGTAGTTGGGACCACTACTCGGGTGTATACCAGCCACTACATGGCTAATTTGTAGAGTTTTTTTTTTTTTTAAAGAGACAGGGCCTTCCTATTTTTCCAGGCTGGTCTCAAATTCCTGGGCTCAAGCAATCCTCCAGGCTTAGCTTCCCAAAGTGCTGGGATTACAGGCTTGGGAAGTGCCTGGCTGGTCTCTTTTTCTTAGAGCTAAAGTCTGGTCTTCTGGGAAGCAACCTCAGCTTACACACTGGTAACACTTTCTCAGGCCTGCCGCGACTGCCGAAACTGGGGTCTGCATAATTATTATTATGATGATTTTTTGAGACGGAGTCTCGCTCTGTCGCTTGGGCTGGAGTGCAGTGGCACCATCTTGGCTCACCGCAAGCTCCACCTCCCCGGTTCACGCCATTCTCCTGCCTTAGCCTCCCTAGAAGCTGGGACTACAGGTGCCCACCACTATGCCCGGCTAATGTTTTTTTTTTGTCTTTTCAGTAGAGACAGGGTTTCACTGTGTTAGCCAGGATGGTCTCAATCTCCTGACCTCGTGATCCGCCTGCCTCGGCCTCCCAAAGTGCTGGGATCACAAGCGTGAGCCACCACGCCTGGCCTGCATAAAAATTTCTTAGTGGAGCCTCTATTAATGATCCAGGCCTATCTACTTCCTTTTGCCTTTTTTTTTTGAGACAGAGTCTTGCTCTGTTGCCCAGGCTGGCGTGCAATGGTGCAATCTTGGCTCACTGCAACTCTGCCTCTCGGGTTCAAGTGATTCTCCTGTCTTAGCCTCTCAAGTAGCTGGGATTACGGGTGCCCACCACCATGCCCGGCTAATTTTTGTATTTTTAGTAGAGATGGGGTTTCACCATGTTGGCCAGGCTGGTCTTGAACTCCTGACCTCACGTGATCCACCTGCCTCGGCCTCCCAAAGGGCTGGGATTACAGGCATGAGCCACAGCGCCTGACCTCCTTTTGTCTTTTTTTTTTTTTTTGAGATGGAGTTTCCTTCTTGTCACCCAGGCTGGAGTGCAGTGGCACAATTTCTGCTCACTACAACCTCCGCTTCCTGGGTTCAAGTGATTCTCCTGCCTCAGCCTCCCGAGTAGCTGGGATTACAGGTGCCTGCCACCACGCCACCTAATTTTTGGTAGAGATGGGATTTCACCATGTTGGCCAGGCTTGTCTTGAACTCCTGACCTCTGGTGATCCACCCACCTTGGTCTCCCAAAGTGCTGGGATTACAGGCATGAGCCACCACACCTGGCCCCTTCTGTCTTTACCTTGAGAAAAACATTAATCTCACAATGTAACAACAGAAAAATTTACCAAATTTGCTGGGCGCAGTGGCTCATGCCTGTAATCCCAGCACTCTGGGAGGCTGAGGTGGGCGGATCACAAGGTCAGGAGTTCAAGACCAGCCTGGCCAACATGGTGAAACCCTGTCTCTACTAAAGATACAAAAAATTAGCCAGGTGTAGTGACATGCTCCTGTAATACCAGCTACTGGGAAGGCTGAGGCAGGACAATCACTTGAACCTGGAAGGCGGAGGTTGCAGTTGAGCTGAGATTGTGCCATTGCACTCCAGCCTGGGTGACAGGGTGAGACTCTGTCTCAAAATAAATAAATAAATAAATAAATACAAACAAATTAATTGTTTTAATATTCATGTTCCCGTCAAGTTCTTACCCATATATACACGGAATTTCTAGCAACATAATCATGGTATAGATAAAATTCCTGCCAGGCGTGGTGTTTCACACCTGTAGTCCCATCACTTTGGGAGTCTGAGGTGGGTAGATTGCTTAAGTCCAGGAGTTCCAGACCAGCCTGGCCAACATGGTGAAACCCCGTATCTACTAAAAATACAAAAAAATTAGCCAGGCGTGGTGGTGGCATGCAGCTGTCATACCAGCTACTTGGGAGGCTGGGGTGGGAGCATCGCTTGAGCCCTGGAAGCAAAGGTTGCAGTGAGCCAGGATCTCACCACTGCACTGTAGTCAGGGCAACAGATTCCATGATTTCCTCTCGTCTCTGTTGTGCCACAGCCTTAAATACTGATTAAGTTACTAGTCATGCTCTGATTAATTGCTAGTAATTTTACTTTGACATACTTATCTAGCAAAATAAACTTATAGTAATTCAACTATGACAGCAAATAATAATAAAGTAGTAAAACATAAAACATACCACATGGTCCTGATTTGACAAGTCGTATTTCAGTGCAAATGACTTCACTCTTCCTACATATATTGTATTGTAAAATTTTATAAGATCACCTCTTTCCTCTTTCACTGGTCCACTGGAGCAGTCAGGTGTTTTTGTAGCATCTTCCAAGTCTGTTAAAAGGAATGCAATGTTGTGATACAAAGCATACTTTTTATTTTTTTTGAGACAGGGTCTCACTTTGTCACCCAGGGTGGAGTGCAGTGGTGCAAATGTTGGCTCACTGCAACCCCGACCTCCTGGATTCAAGTGATCCTCCCACCTCAGCCTCCTGAGTAGCTGGGACTACTGGCACGCACCACCATGCCTGGCTATTTTTTATTTTTAGTAGAGATGGCGTTTTGCCATGTTGCCCAGGATGGTTTCCAACTCCTGGGCTCTAGTGATCTGCCAGCCTCAGCCTCTCAAAGTGCTGGGATTACAGGCGTGAGCCACCATGCCCAGCCACAAAGCATACTTTAATATACAAGTCGGCAATTTAAATTACCTTTCTACAATATTAAAAAAAACTCACAAGTCTTTATGTAGAGAAATTAATATTTTCAGAGAAGGTTCAGAAATCCATTTGTATTACTTATAAGTCATATTGGAATCTAGAAAAATGCAAACATATCAATTGAAGGTGGTGCTCTCTTCTCTAGATGCCACTTCAGAATGTTTTCACAACCATAGCTTTTGAGCTGACTGTCATTAGTGGCTTTTAGAGGGGCAACAGCCCTGGGCTGGTGTTATCTAAGTTCTACAGTATGGCAGGCAGTGGCAAACCTCAGCTTCAGAAAACTAAAAGGCCTGCAGATATTCTTCTTGTGTCTTTGAGAAAGGTGGAAAGATTCTAAAAGGTAAAGCATATCCTGAGAGGTTAGGGAAGAAGCAAAATGAATTACATTTATTTCTCTGCAAATACATGGCAGGTGACAGGTGTTCTAAGAGCCTTATTGTACCACGTACAACAGGAGCCCTGATCAGGAACCAGTGTTCAGGTTTTACTGAGCACCCCCAGTAGTAAAATAACAGCTTGCCCCAACGTAGTTTCCTACTTAATGGTGCAACTCTGGGATAGCTTGTGAAACTAGGCAGAAATTTGTCCTACTATTTTTTGGGGAAGGAAAAGTATTATAGAGTATTACAAAATATCATTTACTTGTATACACAAGAACCATGTGTTTAGAAGAGCTAAGAAAACCACTACCAATTAAAAAGAATTTAGCATTTATATGAAAAAAGTTCTCATTCTCAATTCACTGGCCTACAAACATTGAGAACATGGGTAGAAGCAATGCCTTCGCCTTAGGAAAACCAGAAAACACAAACATGGTTCAAAGACCAAACGGCCCCAGGGGATCTCAGTCTTAATTTGGATGTCTTTTTCACTTCTGCTATTTCTAAAGGATCTTGACTAGGGTGGGAGGGGAGGGGAGCTATGTGGTTAAATAAAGTTGAGGAAATGCTGTACATTATATTAGAAATTCAGAAATGCATGTTAGTATAAGGCTCTGAGAAGTACTGCAGTTTGGGAAAAAAAATAACTCTCATGTTCACTTTAATTCCATACTTCCCCAATTTTTTATGTATAGTCTCTTTCCCCAAAACACTTTTTTTTTTTGAGAGGGAGTCTTGCTCTGTCACCCAGCCTGGAGTGCAGTGGTGCAATCTCGGCTCACTGCAGTCTCTCTGCCCGCTGGGATCCAGCGATTCTCCTGCCTCAGCCTCCTGGGTATTTGGGATTACAGGAGCATGCCACCACACCTGGCTAATTTTTGTATTTTCAGTAGAGATGGGGTTTCGTCATGCTGGACAGGCTGGTCTCAAACTCCTGACCTCAGGTGATCCACCCGCTTTGGCCTCCCAAAGTGCTGGGATTACAGGCGTAAACCACTGCGCCTGGACCCCCCAAAACACTTATACTACCATTCTGGGAAATACTGTTTCAAAGGATACTGGTATGTTAACAGCTCTTCTAGGTTATTCTCATTATATGGATCAATTAAAATTATTTCTTTTTGTTTTGTTTTTATGACAGGTTCTTGATCCTCTTGCCTCAGCCTCCTGAGTAGGTGGGACTACAGGTGAATGCTGCCACACCAGGCTAATTTTTTTTTTACTTTTTGTAGAGACAGGGTCTCCCTATGTTTTCTAGGCTGGTCTCTAACTCCTGGGCTCAAGTGATCCTCCCACTTCGGTCTCTCAAAGTGCTGGGATTATAGACGTGAGCGACCACACCTGGCCTAAAATTATTTAATGTCCTCCTTGTATTAGAAATTTATTGAGACAGAGACTATAGTGTCTCCATATTTCTGTGTCATTCCAATTCCAGTTGTTAATATTTATGTAAGGTAAGGAGCTATACTTTACTTGAATGAACCAAACATTTAAAATTGTGGGAGGCTGGATGTGGTGAAACCCTGTCTCTATAAAAAAAAAAAATTAAGGGGCCGGGCGTGGTGGCTCACACCTGTAATCCCAGCACTTTGGGAGGCCAAGGCGGGCGGATCACAAGGTCAGGAGATCGAGACCATCCTGGCTAACACAGTGAAACCCCGTCTCTACTAAAAATACAAAAAATTAGCCGGGCGTGGTGGCGGGTGCCTGTAGTCCCAGCTACTCAGGAGGCTGAGGCAGGAGAATGGCGTGAACCCCGGGGGTGGAGCTTGCAGTGAGCTGAGATCGCGCCACTGCACTCCAGCCTGGGCGACAGAGCGAGACTCCGTCTCAAAAAAAAAAAAAAAAATTAAAAATTTAAAAACTAGGTGTGGTGGCACGCACTTTTATCCCTAGCTACTCGGGAGGCTGAGATGAGAGGATCGCTTGAACCCAGGAAATCAAGGTTGCAGTGACCTATGATTATCCTATTACATTCCAGCCTGGGCAACAGAGCAAGATCTCATCTCTAAAATTTAAAAAAACTAAAGAAAAAAAAGACATTAAAAAAATACTCGTCCAGGTGTGGTGGCTCACGCCTGTAATTCCAGCACTTTGGGAGGCCGAGGTGGGAGCATCACTTGAGCTCAAGAGTTCAAGACCAGTCTGGGAAACACAGTGAGATCCCATCTCGGTCTCCCAAAGTGCTGGGATTATAGGTGTGAGCCACCATGTCCGGTCAGAAATGGGTTTTTACTAATGAAAATAGTGAATGGTTTATTAAGTGGGACTAATGCTAAAAAAACCATACTCATTAATATAACAAATTTGATATTGCTTATAAATAATAGCTATTACTAAGGCCTTACTATGAACAAAGTTTGTATTAAATATTATATATATGCATATGTGTATATATAGTTGTGTATTGCATAATGATGGGTTATCTTCTCAAAAATGCATTGTTGAAATGATTTTGTCATGAGAATACTATAGAGTATACATACACAAACCTAGATTGTATGACCAACTACACACCTAGGCTGAATGGTATAGCATATTGCTCCTAAGTTGCAAAACTGTACAGCATGTTACTGTCCTGAATACCACAGGCAATTGTATCACAATGGCAAGTATTTGTGCATTTAAATATATCTAAACATAGAAAAGGTATAGTAAAAATACAGCATTATAATCTTATAGGACCACTGGTGTATGTGTGGGCCATCACTGACTGAAACATCATTATACGGCACATGACTCTGTGTGTGTGTGTGTATGCACACACATACATACATATACATATAGTTATATTTTTTATTTTTAGAGACAAGATCTTGCTCTATCACCCTGGCTGAAGTGCAGTGGTGCGATCATAGTTCACTACAATCTCAAATTCCTGGATTCAAGTGATCTTCCTGCCTCAGTCTCCCAAGTAGTTGGGACTACAGGTGTGAGCCACCATGCCCAGCTAATTTTTTATTTTCATTTTTTGCAGATGGGGGTCTTGCTGTGTTGCTCTTGCTGGTCTTTAATTCCTGGGCTCAAGGGATCCTCTTGCCTCAGCCTTCCATAGTGCTGGGAGATTACAGGCATGAGCCACAACACCCAGCCTAAATATAATTATTTTTAATCCGTAAAATAAGTTTCTAAGGAAGTAATGTAAAGTTTTCAGTTAACTACAATACACTTCAGTACAGTGTTACATTTGTGTTACTTAGGTTAAGCTATAACCTAGGTCTCACAAGTATTCTAATTAAGACTGCCACTCTGGAGTGGTCTGCTAACATGACATTGAAGAATTCATAGCCCATGAGGAGTGAGCTGGTGTTTTAATCAGGAAATTCTTTCTCCACTCCAACAGTTTCTGTTAGGCATATCTCAATCGATGACCAATGCTTTGCTCATTAACATACTCAAAGTCAGAATTTTTTTTTTTTTTTTTTTTTTTTTTGAGAAAGAGTCTTGCTCTGTTGCCCAGGCTAGAGTGCAGTGGCACAATCTCAGCTCACTGCAACCTCCGCCTCCAGTGTTCAAGCAATTCTCCTGCCTCAGCCTCCTAAGTGGCAGGGATTACAAGTGCTCACCACCATGCCTGGCTAATTTTTGTATTTTTAGTAAAGATGGGGTTTCACCATGTCAGCAAGACTGGTCTCGAACACCTGACCTCAAGTGATCCACCCGTCTTGGTCTCCCAAAGTGCTGGGATTACAGGTGTGAGCCACCATGTCCGGCCAGAAATGGGTTTTTACTGATGAAAATAGTGAATGCTTATTAAGTGTGACTAATGCTAAAAATGAGCTCATGTTCAGGAAATAAAAAGTATTTAAGATAAGCAGATTGGTTAAAATATTTGAGACACTACCCTCAATAGCCATGAAAGTGATGAAAGATCCAGTGAAGTCTCTAGGCTTTACTCTTAGGGATAATAACGTTAAGGCTAAAAGCTCTAAGAAGTCCTGTGTCCAGCCCTGAATTCTGATCCACGGTATTTGCTTGATGCTAGCCATAAGGTTGACTGAATCCTGCATCTGAAATCTTGGCACCCATTCTTGAGCAAATCTTTTCCTTGGGTGGTGGTCAGACATAGAACTGGGATATATGAACTTACTGCATAGGATATATAAATTGTGTGTGTGCTTTTTAAACAGTAATTATTTTATAACCCATAATGAATTTGTTTATAGAACCAGAACTGTTCTTCCCAAGTTGGTGTTCTTTGGTGTGTCCAAATCTGGGTCATAGCATCTAGACATAGCTCTAAGAACTGGAAGGTGACTTATCTGAATATAGACTTGTCTGATTGCATATCCTCCTACATAACTTTCTCTCTCTCTTTTTTTTTTTTTTTTTTGAGACAGGGTCTTGCTCTGGAGTACAGTGGCAAGATCATGGCTCACTGTAGCCTTGACATCCTGGGCTCAAGCCAACCTCCCAATTCAGCCTCCTGAGTAGCTTGGACTATAGATGCTCACCACCATGTGTGGCTATTTTTAAAAAATTTTTTGTAGCAATGGGCTCTCACTATGTTACCTACAATGGTCTTGAACTCCTCGGTTCAAGCCACCCTCCCGGCTTGGCCTCCCGAAGTGCTGGGATTATAGACATAAGTCACTGTGCTCTCACTCTATGAGTGCCAGAATTCCTGAGTTCATCATCACTGGATATTCTCCCTGCCCTGTGCCACCACCACTGTACAGGACCTGTAACAATGGTTGTTTGCTTATTTGCTAATAAATATAGTTAATAACTGTATATAAGACAGAGTGCAGTGACGCACACCTGTAATCCCAGCACTTTGGGAGGCCAAGGCAGATGGATCACTTGAACCCAGGAGTTCAAGACTGGCGTTGGCAACATGGTGAAACCCCATCTCTACAAAAAATATAAAAATTAGCCAGGTCGTGGCTGAGCCAAGAATCACTTGGGCCTGGGAGGTCAAGGCTGCAGTGAGCTGTGACTGTCCCACTGTACTCCAGCCTGGGTGACAGAGCAAGACATGGTCTCAAACAAACAAACAAACAAACAAACAAAAGGTTAGATGCAGTGGCTGACGCATGAAATCCCAGCACTTTGGGAGGCCAAGGTGGGCGGATCACCTGAGATCCGGAGTTCAAGACCAGCCTGGCCAACATGGCAAAACCCCGTCTCTACTAAAAATACAAAAATTAGCTGGGCGTGGTGGCAGGTATCTGTAATCCCAGCTACTCGGGAGGCTGAGGCAGGAGAATCACTTGAACCTGGGAGGCGGAGGTTGCAGTGAGCCGAGATCGCACCATTGCACTCCAGCCTGGGCCACAAGAGTGAGACTGTATCTCAAAAAAAAAAAAAAAAAAAAGAAAAAAAAGAAAAAAAAGAAAGAAATTGTGTAGCAGAATTTGATCTGAAACCTATATATACAGGAAGTGGCGAACTCTCAGTCACCTCAAGTTTCTTTGGCAGACACTTATCAAAAAGAAAACAAAACAGAAAACGACATCATCTATTATCTTTTGCTTCTACTCTCTACTTCACTGCTCTTGTGGCTCAGATACTTGCTAGCAGTTAGTTTCACATAGAAAAAACACAAAACAGGCAAGGGATCCACAGCTTTCTAGCTAACCTGATGTCTGGTTTTGGAGGAACAGAAAAACCACCCCAGATAGGTAAGCAACATGTATAACAAATACAGAAAAAGGCTTTTTAATAGTTTGTCAGTGTTACTGTCTGCATTTATTGTTGTTGTTTTGTTTTTTTTGAGATGGAGTCTCACTCTGTTACCCAGACTGGAGTGCAGTGGCAGGATCTTGGCTCACTGCAACCTCTGCCACCCAAGTTCAAGTGATTCTCCTGCCTCAGTCTCCTGAGTAGTTGGGATTACAGGTGCCTGCCACTGCACCCACTGCACCTGGCTAATTTTTGCAGTTTTACTAGAGACAGGTTTCACCATCTTGGCCAGGCTGGTCTCGAACTCCTGATCTCATGATCCACCCACCTCGGCCTCCCAAAGTACTGGGATTACAGGTGTGAGCCACCGTGCCTGGCCAGGGTTACTGTCTTATATACTCCTCATTGCCTTGAAAACGCTCCAGAATAACACACTTAGGTAAAAAGAATTGAGTTTGGCCTATTATCCTCAGAAAGTCAGATTCTAGGACATTATTAAAAGATCTTTTTGGTGAATGAAATCTTAAAAGTTTATATCCCAGTGGACACCATAATGATTATGGGTATTTTTATAATTTAAAAACTTGTTTTAATTCATCAGATTTTCTTTCAAGAATTTATCCTAAGGATGTGGCCTAAATATTTAAGCTACAAATGATACTCATCACAGAGCTGTGCATAACTAGAAGCAACCTGGCCAGGCGTGGTGGCTTACACCTGTCAGCCCAGAACTTTGGGAGGCCAAGGTAGGGAGATTGCTTGAGTCCAGGAGTTGGAGACCAACTTGGGCAACATGGAAAAATCCCACCTCTACAAAAAATTAGTTGGGTGTGACAGCAAGACTGAGATGAAAGGAACGCTGGAGGTCAGGGCTGCAGTGAGCCATGATTGTGCCACTGCATTTCTGCCTGGGTAACAGAGTGAGATCCTGTCTCAGAAAAGAAAAAAAGAAAAGAAAAGAAAAAAGAAAAGAGAAAGGAGGGCAGGGGAGGGGGAGGGGAGGAGAAGGGATGGGGATGGGGAGAAGAGAGGAAAGGAGAGTGGGGGATAGGAGAGGACAAGACAAGACAAGACAAGAAAAGAGAAGAAAAAAGGAGAAATGACCTAAATGTCTCACACTGTGGCATTAAAGAAATCACAGTACCTAGACTTGGCACAGTGGCTCATGCCTGTAATCCTAGTACTTTGGGAGGCCAAGGTGGGCGGGTCACTTGAGCTCACGATTTCAAGACCAGCCTGACCAAACATGGCAAAATCCTGTCTCTACAAAAAATATAAAAATTAGCCAGGGTGATGGCTCATGCCTGTAGTTCCAGCTATTCGGGAGGCTGAGGTGGAAGGATTACTTGAGTCTGGGAGGTCGATGCTGCAGTGAGTCATGATCATACCACTGCACTCCAGTGTAGGTGACAGAACAAAACCCTATCTCAAACAAAGCAAAACAAAAAAAAAAAATCACAGTATATACACTGTATATATTACATACACCTTAAATACATGGAAAGATGAGACAAGGGAAAGGAGGTAGACAGAAGAGGTGTATGAATAGTAACCATTTGATTTTCTTTTCTTTGAAAAAAGATTACCAGTGCCTGAAGTCTTAGCATGATGGTGGCAAGAGGGTGCAGTCTTGCCTGTGGTAGCAGAATTACCTATAAATAACACTTATATGAACAGGACATTTTCTTTTGTGTGTGTGTGTGCGACAGAGTCTCACTCTGCTGCCAGGCTGGAGTGCAGTGGCGTGATCTCGGCTCACTGTAACCTCCGACTCCCGGGTTCAAGTGATTCTCCTGCCTCAGGCTCCCGAGTAGCTGGGACTACAGACACATACCACCACGACTAGTTAATTTTTGTATTTTTTAAAGTAGAGATGGAGTTTCACCATGTTGGCCAGGATGGCCTTGATCTCTTGACCTCGTGATCTGACCGCCTTGGCCTCCCAAAGTGCTGAGATTACAGGCGTGAACCACCACGCCCAGCCAGGACATTTTTTTAATAGACTCCTCAGGAAGATTACTGTCAGCTACCTTGTTTTCTCTGTCATTCAGATAAGAATTTTATTAAGTCTCTTTTATATGTTTCATTAACATGTATAAGTAGACTAGAAAATTTCTTCCAAAACACAATTAACGGGGGACAAATTAATGGTTTCAATAAATTATACCAGCACATTCTAATCTCAAACATAATTGTTTTCAAAACGTGTGTGTATTGTCTACCTCACCTCCTCATGATTCACATTTCCATGTTGTCTGACACCCACTGTATTATGTACAGTGTGATCCAATGTGTTTTACATATAGTATGTTAAATTGGATAACTTACCACAATCTATCATTTCAAAGTCATCATTTATATTTTTATTATATGCCACAAATTCTCTTGGAATACTTTTCAGCAGAACACTTCTATATACCTACACACCAGAGGGGAAAAAAAGGACTGCTCAGTCACAGAGGTACATGTTAAACAAAATCAAAGTGAGAAGAGCAAAATATCAAGCCAATGAAAAACTATTTGTCTGTATAAGTGATACTCAAGGGTAAAATGTTATTAGCTCTAGTAAGCATAGATTATAACACATACCATAAAAGAGGGGATACTGGAGAAGAGCTTACCATCTAAGATGGGCTTAGTTTATAAAATAGAAGAAATAGCAACTAAAGACTGATGATTGGGTTTTACTAAATAAAAGCAACTTCAAAGACCTGAATTTGGTCAGGTGCAGTGGCTCACACCTGTAATCCCAGCACTTTGGGAGGCCAAGGCGGGCAGATCACTTGAGGCCAGGCATTCAAGACCAGCCTGGCCAACATGGTGAAAGCCTGTCTCTACTAAAAATACAAAAATTAGCTGGGCATGGAAGCACACACTTGTAATTCCAGCTACTAGGGAGGCTGAGGCAGGAGAACTGTTTGAAGCCAGGGGTGAAGGTTGCACTGAGCTGAGATTGCACCACTGCGCTCCAGCCTGGACAACAGAGCAAGACTCTGTCTCAAATACAAAACAAAAGAAAACAAACAAACAAACAAAAAACAAAAGACCTGAATTAATTCCTCCTTTTTAATTCCTTACACAACAATCGATTGGTCTTTTTTTTTTCTTTTTAGAGACAGGGTCTCACTCCATGGCTCAGACTAGAGTGCAGTGGCACAATCATGGCTCACTGTAGCATTGACCTCCTGGGCTCAAGCAATCTGCCTGCCTTGGCTTCCTTAACTGGTGGGATTACAGGCGTGAGCCACTGTGCCTGGCCAAGAGTCGTTTGTTCTTAATGCAGCTTGTTTTTCTGCCCCCAGCCCATTCCCATCTCCTTTCAGACGACCACATGAAAATCTTTTCCCTTCCCTGCCCCTGAACTATCTCACCTCTGAGATAGCTGGAAAGGCATGATCCATTCCCCCTTGCACTATATTATAGGTTACTGGTATTAAGAGGATATTCAGGGAGCCATGGCTTGGCCCATTTTTGACTCACACTAACCTCACCTTAATGATCTTCAAGGACAATCTAAAGCTTTCTAGGCTCTGTTCCTGAGGGATTTTCCTGAAGAAGCCCAGAAAATCTTAGCTTATCACAGGATATAACAAATGCCTGTACTTGGTTCTTCAAATGTCTCTATATTGCTTGCTATAATGTATTTTAGGGCTTAATAGCTTATCACAGGATATAACAAATGCCTGTAATTTGGTTCTTCAAATGTCTCTATATTGCTTTGCTATAATGTATTTTAGGCTTAAAGCTTCCCTTAGAAGGGGATATAACTACTAATACTGAGGCCACATCTCTGTGTTGGTCTGCAATCTAGGTTGACTTCTACCTCTTTCTGGCTACAATTTAGCCAGAGAAGAGACCATTATGCTTCCGAAGAGCAGAGCAACCAGGTTCTGAAATGATCAAAACTCTTTAAGGTAATTTACTTGTGTTCTTCATGTACACAACAATATGACATTAACATTCATTAAATGCCAGATTAAAGCAGTCCACTTGCTACTATGACCGAAAGGTTTCATACCACCACAGCGAGAACAATATAATCAGAAATGCTTGGGCGATCTATTCAAAGATGCCATTAGGTGCTTAGCAGATGGCAAAAGAAGCTGTAGTTAGGTTAATGAACCCTAAAATTTCATCAGTTTTAAATATCATTAAAAATAAAGTTATATAATTAAAGAATATTATTATTATACATATCTTTTTTTTTTTTTTTTTTCTGAGACAGAGTCTCGCCTCTGTCAGCCAGGCTGGAGTGCAGTGGAACAATCTTGGCTCACCGCAACCTCCGCCTCCCGGCCCAAGCAATTCTCCTGGGACCAGCCTCCCGAGTAGCTGGACACAGGCGCAGCCACCATGCCTGGCTAATTTCTGTATTTTTAGTAGAGACAGGGTTTTTTACCATGTTGCCGACTGGTCTCGACTCCTGACCTCGTGGTGACCCACCTGACTCCGCCTCCCAAAGTGCTGGGATTACAGGCATGAGCCATTATACATATCTTTCATTAAATGAACAAATAGAATATAGAGAACTTATGAGAAGTATATGAAAGTATATATTTAATCGAAACAGTTAGATTTCTGGCTTCTACTGAAATTGTCCTTTGATGAAATTATCTCTTGAATTTTAATGTTATCCATTAAAACAGAAATCTAAGAGTATTAAAACTATAAAATAAGTTTATCTTTATATAACTTGTCAGTGGAAAACAGTAAATTCTATTTTTTTGGACAGTAGGAGAAATAATAACCTAATGGATCATTAGCTTGTATTAGATTCCTGTAACTTTTCATAATTTCTGAAAAGTCTTTCTTCTTTTGTTACCTAAGGAAAATAAACTGCATTTATCAAATGCTTTTTTGAAAGAAAATGGCTCTGAACAAACTTCAATTATAAGTTGGCACTGAGAGCAACTCAGAAAACCATATTAACTCAGGCCAGTCCATGACTAAAACCTACTCAACATTTATGATTTTTTTTCACTCTTTACAGTTCAGGCTGAAATTGTAGAATCACTTCATAGTTTCATTTAATCAAAAAGCACTGAACTGAGCAGGTGTGACTTTACTGAAAATCCATTTCCTTTATATAAAAAGATATAAGAAAACTCAGATCTGTTTAATGCCCCAGTCTCCAGTTTTATTAATTTCTATACACTTACTTAAAAGTAAATTAATCATATACAAAAGGATTAAAATATCTTACAGTGATGATCTCAATCAAACTGAGTGGCTATTATATATTAGGTTTTAACATTTCAGGACAGACTGTAGGGTTTCTAATGTTTAGACAGAAGTCAGAAATAAAAGGAAGAAAAGGAATTCCTTCTGGGATCTCTGTGATTGTAAACGCCACTTAAGTTACTCCTTTCCCTTGCTTCACTGTCCGTTAGTCCTAACCCTGTCTTCTATAATGATGAGCTAGAAATGGCAAAGCCTTGAACTTAACAGTCTTCTGGAAAACACACGATTAGTTAGTAACATTTATCTTTTAAGTTTTTAATTCTTTTTTTTTTTTTTTTTTTTGAGATATAGTCTCGCTCTGTCATCTAGGCTGGAGTGCAGTGGCATGATCTTGGCTTACTGCAACCTCCGCCTCCTGGGTTCAAGTGATTCTCCTGCCTCAGCCTCCTGAGTAGCTGGGACTACAGAGTGTGCCACCACGCCCCAGCTAATTTTTGTATTTTTAGTAGACAGGGTTTCACCGCATAGCCAGGATGTCTCGACCTCTGACCTTGTGATCTGCCTGCTCAGCCTCCCAAAGTGCTGGGATTACAGGTGTGAGCCCACGCCCGGCCCTTCAGGTTGAGTTTTCTAACTGCAATTTACCATTCTATAAATCAGCAAGATTCTACTTCAAACATGACTCTTGAGGCTATCAGATGCAATTTGTTCCTTGAGTCCTGGTAACCAGTGTCTTCAGCATTTCTTGGCATTGAAATATAGTCGTGCTTTTACATCAACTAATTTTCTTTAAAAATGAATCAAACCATTTTCTTGGATCCCCTTTTAGTTGCCTTGTATGGTGCAGCGTTCTCGTTAACTCAAAGGTAGAAACAATTATTAAGACCTATTATTTATTTATTTATTTATTTGAGATGGAGTTGTGCTCTGTCACCATAGGCTGGGAGTGCAGTGGCGCAATCTCAGCTCACTGCAAGCTCCGCCTCCCAGGTTCACGCCGTTCTCCTGCCTGTCTCCCCTGAGTAGCTGGGACTACAGGCGCCCATCACCACGCCTGCCACTTTTGTATTTTTAGCAGACGGGACACCGTGTTAGCCAGGATGGTCTTGACTTGACCTGTGATCCATCCGCCTTGGGCTCCCAAAGTGCTGGGATTACAGGCGTGAGCCACCGCGCCCAGCCTAAGACCTATTTTTTACAGAGATTTCAAAGAGGCATTCTGGGAGGAGGGGTCACAAAGGAGTTTAAAACATATATTTGGTCTCAAAAGCTGAAAATCAAATCTTAACTGTATACATCTGCTAGACTGCCAGTGTGGCCAGTGTGGTAAAGACAAATGATTGTATCAGATATATGAGAATTTTAAAAAACAAGCAAGATATGTTATTCTATGACTTAAAACACGTTGTAGCAACTAGAAAGTAAAATGCTCTTCTGAGGCAGCACAATAAATCACGAGAAAGCAATACGCAATATGGTACAGAAACTTTTTTTTTTCTTGAGAGCAGGATTCTTTGCTCTATTGCTCAGACTGAGTGCAGTGTCATGATCTCGGTCACTGCAACCTTGGCCTCCTGGGCTCAAGAGATCCTCCCACCTCAGTCTCCCAAGTAGCTGGGCTTCATAGGTGCAAGCAAAAATGCCCAGCTAATTTTTACATTTTTTACAGAGACAAGGTTTCACCATGTTGCCCAAGCTGATTCAAATCTTGGGCTCAAGTGATCTCCTTGCCTGACTCTCCCAAAGTGCTAGGATTATACGTGTGAGCCACCATGCCCAGCCTCTTCTCCCAATGTATACATTACCTTTGCCATGATATAAAAGGCACAAAGGAGGAGTTGATCCAAATGCCTGTCTTTCATTAGACTAGGCAGTGAACTAAAGTGAATTCAAAACACGCCCATATCTTCCACGAATCGCTCATTTGAAACATCCAGTTTAGACATAGATCACGTGAACACACTTGCCAAAATGATAGACCTAAAATAGAAGGTAATATACGATGCAAAACAACAAGTAAATCATTTCTCAAATTTTTATGTCTTACCATGAACACGGCTAGACCAAGATTAAAAACATAGGCTGTTGATTTTAAATAATAAAATTTCTGTTCTATAGCACTAGTTCACTGCTGTATGGCAGGAAGATATAGATGAAAGCAAAGCCACTTGGAAATTTTTAAAGATGTCATCTATTACTCTATGCTACCAACTAGCGGTAAAGAAAACTGAAATATAGATTTATCCAGATCAGACAATTATGAATACATAATTTTTTTCCTTTTTTTTTTCTTTCTTAGGTGGATTCTCGTTTGTCACCTGTAGCTGGAGGCAGTGGCACCATCTTGCCTCACTGCAACCTCTGCCTTCTGTGTAAAGCAGTTACTGCCTTAGCCTCCCTATAACTGGGTTACAGCTGCAGGCCACCATGCTCAGCTACACTTTGTATTTTTCGTAGAGGCAGGGTTTGATCATGTTGGCCAGGCTTGTCTTTAACTCCTGACTCAAGCATCCAATGCACTGCAGCCTTCCCCAAAGTAATGGATTACAGGTGGAGCTATCAGGCCCGGCCCGAACGCATAATTTTTCAAGTCAAGTTCCTGTCTATTCTCTCTTTGGGTGCAGGTAAAATTGCTAGGAGGCCTAACATACAAATAATAACAAGTAATCATAAAAATGTTTGTGAAAGCAAACCATTTAAAATTGTCTTATATTCTACACTTTTATGAGCACAATGGGAACAAAACAGAATGTTAAATAAGATACAAAGCTTTTTTAAAGCATGTGAAAATAACGTTCAGTCTCTGGCCCTAAGATCCTGCAAGACTTTATTATTTGGCAGAATTGATAACTCCTGATGTGGTGGTTCAAACCAGACTATTTTATTCAAACTCTTTTTTTTTTTTTTTTTTTTTTTTTAGACAGAGTCTCACTCTGTAGCCTAGCTGGAGTGCATGCTGCACGATCTTGGCTCACTGCAACCTCCGCCTCCGGGCTCAAGTGATTCTCGTGTCTCAGCCTCCCAAGTAGCTGGGACTACAGGCAAGCATCACCATGCCTGGCTAATTTTTTTTTTTTTTTTTTTGTATTTGAGATGTGGTTTCACCACATTGCCCAGAGTGGTCTCGAACTCCTGAGGTCAGGCGATCTGCCTGCCTCGGCCTCCCAGCAGCTGGGATTACAGGTGAGTCACTGCACTGCCCAAACTATGTCTTTAAATTTGAGAGGAAAAAAATAAAGTATCCTCAGAAAATTATCTTGGCAGAAAAATATCACAAACTGAGCTGAAAAACTAATTTAAGCTACTCAGTAATCTGAATAGTGAGACAACAGTTGACTCCAAAGCCACCAGTGATTTATTTTACAGCAAACAAATTTTCTGTATCCTCTCCCCTTGTTTCTGGTCCAGCCATGCTGAGGAAACAGTAGGGTCAGAGCAGAGGGAAAGACGCTAGAACTTTATATTCACAGAAAGGATAAAGATAAGAGATATAGTCCTAAAGAAGAATTAAAAAATAATATGTAATTAAGTAACACTTGCAAAGTATCTTTACAGAACTTGATCCAATGCTGGTACAGGATACACATATGCTGGCAGGCTTTTGATTCTAACATTCACGGTAAATTCTATTTAGGCATAGAACACCAGCATCACACTGAAGTTCCAGCACAGATAATTGTTATAATTTACTCAGTGAAATGGTTATTTTGAATTCGATATAGATTCAGACATTTAGTTCTTTTTATATTTTCTAGCTTCTAGACCTATACTGAGTAGGTTATAATTAAAATGAAAGGAAAAGATGTTAAGATTCTAAAACAACATCCAAAATGAATAATCACCAAAAAAGTCTTACTTTTCAAAACTTAGGTTAATTATTTATATGGACACTCTACATTGAAAATTAAAATGGTGCTAAAATGGGGAACTACTATATTTTCAAGCTCTGTATTTTAAACAGTCCTTAGTACAGGAGGGGTGGAGGGACAGAGAAGAGAAGCCAGTAAAGGTGGTGAAAAGAGTGACTTCTCAACCATCCTAATTGTCAACCAAAGCAGCCTGCTTTCTACATATGTTTTGTTTATACTCTGGAGACTATTTCATTCAAAGAAGGGGTTTCTAAAGATGAAATTCCTTGGAGAATCAGTTGCTCCAAAATCCACAATGTAATGAAAATAAATGAGCTAAAACTGAAAGGAATAGAAGACAAAGAATGGTTGTAGAAGCTATAAATGAGTTGTCATGTCTGGTTCTCTGCAATAACAGAACCCTTGACATTTACACCCGGCTTCTGTGGCTAAAGACTATATTGCCCTTTTGAAAATTCTTGCCTGGGCACGGTGGCTCACATCTGTAATCCCACATTGGTAAGGTGAGGGATGGACTGGTTGAGTCCAGGAGTTTGAAACTATCTCAAGCAAATATAGCGAACCCTTATCTACAAAAAAAAAAATTAAAAATTAGCTGGGTGTGGTAGCCTGTGCCTATAGTCCCAGCTACTCATGAGGCTGAGGTGAGAGGATCGCTTGAGCCCGGGAGGTTGAGAGCAGCAGCCAAGATCTTGCCACTGCACCCCAGCATGGTGATTGAGCGAGACCTTGTTCCCAAAAATAAATAAATAAATAAATAAATTCTACAAGTGGCTACATGACTAAGTGGGAAATAAACAGCACTGGTGTATGCAACTTAGACAGGTTCTTAAAGGTGAGGAGGCATGCTCTTTTTTTCTTCCTGCTGGCTAGAATGCAGATATGACATCTGAAGGAAGCAGTCATCATGGACTGAGTTAGAAACCTGTGTTGAGAACGCCAAAAATCCTTGAAGGACCTGGGTTTTATTTGTTGAGATGGAGTCTTGCTCTGTCGCCCAGGCTAGAGTGCGGTGTCACAATCTCGGCTCACTGCAACCCCGTTGCCCAGGTTCATGCCATTCTCCTGCTTCAGCCTGCCGGGCTTAGCTGGGACTACAGGTGCCTGCTACCACGCCTGCAATTTTTTTTTGTATTTTTAGTAGAGATGGGGTTTCACTGAAGTTAGCTATGATGATCTTGAACTCCTGACTCGTGATCTGCCCATCCCGGCCTCCCAAAGTGCGAGATTACAGGCGCCAGCCACCACGCCTGGCCAGGACCTGGGTCTTGGGTCATGGTAACCACAGCAGTCCCATACTACTTACAGCAGACTTTACGTGAAAGATAAATTTTCTTGTTCAAACTACTATTATTTTCAAACAGCTAAACTGAAATCTAAGAAATAAATAGATAATCACTATGCCCAGCACAAAACATGTTAGAGGTACTGTGAAAGAAATAGGATTTGATATAAAAACGTAAAATAACCAGCCGGGTGCGGTAGCTCACGACTGTAATCCCAGCACTTTGGGAGGCCGAGGCATGGATCGCGGCATCAGATCGAGACCACGTGAAACCCCGTCTCTACTAAAAACACAAAATTAGCCGGGCGCGGCTGCGGGCGCCTGTAGTCCCAGCTACTCGGGAGGCTGAGGCAGGAGAATGGCGGGAATCCGGGAGGTGGAGCCGCAGAGCCCAGATCGCGCCACTGCCTCTCCAGCCAGGGGTGGCAGAGCGATCCCTGCCTCAAAAAAAAAAAAAAAAAAAATTAGCTGGGGCCTGGTGGTAAGGCCCCCTGTAATCCCAGCTACTGGGAGGCTGAGGCAGAGAATCGCTTGAACTAGGGGAGTCGGAGGTTGCAGTGAGCCGAGATCCCACCCACTGCATTCCAGCCTGGCGACAGACCAAGACTCCATCTTAAAAAAAAAAAAAAAAAAATCTACCTGGATGGGGTGGTGCAAGCCTGTGGTCCTACTACTCAGGAGGCAGGAGAGCTCTGAGCCTGGGAGGTAGACTGCAGTGAGCCATTATCGTGCCTCTTAATCATGTCTGGGCGACAGAGCAAGACTCTGTCTCAAAATAATAATAAAACGATTAGTAGAGAAATACACTTAAATTTGCCTGTAGACCCAGCTACTTGGAGGGTAATGAAGGAGGATCACTTGAGCCTAGGAGCTGGGCTGTAGCGCATGTGTCTGTACTTGTGAATAGTCACTACCCAACCTGGGTAATAGAATGGGCTAGCCAACCATCTAGTTGTATTACACTGCAGTCATGTTCTATTATAAATATCTGATTAACATGTCTATCTTATCAGAAGTTGATGATTCAAAATGTGCTTGTAAGAGATAGGACAATTCAAGTTATTGTCTAAGGTCAACAGTTTTTAGTCCTTTTCCATTAATATTAAAATAATTTAAGTATTATAATAAGAACTGGTCATATGCTAATTTAAAAGGTAACACACTAGATTTATTTTATTTATTTTTTATTTTTGGAGATGGGTCTTACTCTGTTTCTTGGGCTGGAGTGTAGTAGCACCTTCTTAGCTCACTGCAGCCTTGAAATCATGGGCTCATGTTATCCTTCCACTTTAGCCTCCTGAGTAGCTGGGACTACAGGCATAAAGACATGCTGGCTACTTTGCTTTTTAGAGACTGGGTCTCATCATGTTGCCCAGGCTGGTCTTGAACTGCAAGCCTCAAGTAATCCTCCTGCCTCGGCCTCTGAAAATACTGAGATTACAGGCATGAGCCACCATGCCTGGCCTAGATTTATAATAAAAATTATGAGTAACAGCTGGGCATGGTGGCACATGCCTGTAATCCCAGCACTTTGGGAGGCTGTGGTGGGCAGATCACCTGAGGTCAGGAGTTTGAGACCAGGCTGGCCAATATAGCAAACCCCGTTTCTACTAAAAATACAAAAATTAGCCAGGTGGTGTGCACACCTGTAGTCCCAGCTACTTGGGAGGGTGAGGCAGGTGAATCACTTGAACCTGGGAGACAGAAGCTGTAGTGAGCCGAGA